TAGTTAAATGAAAGCTGCCTACCACATTGTGTCAGCAGGTGCTGCCAGACCTTTTTCTGGCAGCATTACAGCAGCTCAGCCCAATTGAAACAAATGCAGGGAGGACAGCAGCCCTCGGGTGACCTCGCTGAGCACCCCAGGGTTTTCCTGCCAAGAAAAGCCTCATGGCCAGGGCCATGTGGCTTGGCAGCACACACTGAGCTGCTGATGGGAGCAGGAGGAAGCAAGCAGCACCTTTGTCTCAGGAAAGCAAGGTCTTTGCTGGGACACGAGAACTCGGAGAACACAAGAGTGAGGAGCCCCGGCTTTTGTCACTAGCAGATCATTACTGCAGGTCCACCAAGCCAAGGGGAGCATGACTTTTAAACAACTTGGTGCCTTTACAGTGTTTGGGTACCTTTAATGCTGCAAGACATGGTCAGAGATTTCTTGGAAACTGAGCAGATCCATTTGGCTCCAAAGTGACTAAGGCTGCTTCCTCTTCACATCGATCCATTCCCTTTTTAAAACATGATGACTTGGGAGATGTGCAAGCTCCTATTTGCAGTCTTTTCCATACTTCCTACAGCAAAATGGATTATTTTCAGTTCCTTTTTGCATTTTTAATTCTCGCCTGTCTCCGTTTTTTCCCTCTGAAGGTTTGTAGGCATATGTTTCTACAGAAGGGGAAGTTAGTTGCTGACTTTTTAGGAAGAGTGAAGTCATCCACAAGGCAGTACTGATGAAGTTTATGATTTTTCATTTATTTCCCTTACTGGACATTCAAAGATGCCTTTGGTAACAGGTGTTTGGCTGAGGCCTGATAAAGTCTCCTGGGCTTCTGGGGTACTGTGAGACTCAGAGGTGCTCTTCAGTGCTTCCTTGAGGAGTTTCTTTCCCATCCTTTGATGTGAATCAGCACATTCCAATTTTAAGCAGATCAGGTGATTAACATCAGATGAGAATCTGCTATCCTCCATTTTAACTTCCTGGAAAACAGCTAGTAATTCAAGGCTTTCCTGCCTAGCAATCAGCAGTCAGTCATAGAAACACTTCTTCAATTAGATGCAAGCTCACGATCAAAAGTTAAAAGTCCACCAAAAAAACCTAACTGTGAGAAGAGATTTCAGAATAATAATCCTTATGTTGAAGTGCATAATGCTACTGAAATATGTATTCAAAGACCATTCCTGCATAAATACGATAGCTGCTCAAATTTCCAGGGAAGAAAATTATTTGTATAAGATTTTGTTATCCAATGGCAGCAACATTTTTTTTTGCATTTTTCTCTTAAATAGCATATACTGGCTATCACTGTAATTACAAACATATATTTTTAAAATCCTTTAAGCCACTGTTTGTACTTACTCTCTTTGATGATGTACTAGCTGGTAGCAAGGGAACTTTCATCATATATCAATTAGTAAGTGAAAGATAACTACTGCACATGTTAATTTACTGTTTTCATTAGATGGAGCTGAACAGTATTAACACCGATGAGCCTAATGAAATGAATATTATATCTCAGTGGATACTGTGACTCAAAGACAGAAAACTACCTGCAGGAATTTTCCACACTGAATTCTGAGTGGAAAACCAGCTCATACAGCTCACACACTCACACATAAATCCACAAAAATTGAATAAAAATAAAATTTAATTTCTTAAAATAATGTGTTTGGAAGAGATAAAAATTATTTTCTGAGCAGAATGAAAGTGCTATTTTTCTGGTAAATTTTTCATTACCTGCTTTGTATCATTTGTCCCAGAGCCTTGCTGTCACAGGACTTGTGTCTGTTCCCAGTGCCCCCAGCTGTCAGGCTGTGATTATGCAGCCATTCGTGGGAACACTAAATAATGTCACAAGACATGAAAACTGTATTAACTTCCTGGTGAGGCAAAACAGGAGGGACACTTCTCTTAGCTTATCATCACTTTTTCCTCCAGTTTGCATGAATTAAACAGTGATGTCCGCAAAAGGACTTGGGAGCTTCAGCTGGTATTTAAGTGGGACAGTTCTGATTCAGCTTGTGGGCTCATGAAAGCCAAAGGTTGTCTGTGTTTTCAGAATAATACAACAGAATGGAATCCCTTAAACATATATTACTTACTCAAAATCCAAATTATTTAAATTTATTTTCTTTTGCTACTGTAGAAGGCAGAGCAGTATCAGCCAGAAATATACGTATATAAGGTAAACGATATTTGATTCTTTCTGAGCAGGTGGTATCATAAGAATATTTAATTGAGTGAAATAGAGGGAAAGATTGCTAAAAGGGGTAGAAAAGGTAAGAAAAAACCTCCTCATTGCCTAAGAATTGAGAAGCAAGAGGAAGCAGAAAAGAGGTGAAAACCAGAGAGGTTGGAGTGCGTCTCCAGCCAGATTTGGAGAATCATTCTTAAGTATACATGATGAATTCCAAGCCATCATGAAAAAATGCAAATTCCTTGCCCTAAAGGCAAAGGTAAAGGAGAGCAGTTCTGCCTAGTAATATCAAAAGACAGTTCAGGAAAAAGAGTAAGAATTCCACCATTTACTTGCAAATTAATCTTGCCTATCAGCCACCTTCAGCAGATGCATGACTCAGAGTATTTCTTACCTATCTGAGGCATGGGCTAGAAGCTGTCCAGGGTTGCCTTTGGCAGGATGCCACGTGTCCACCAAGTTGCTATATTACTCCCCTTCTCATCAGGACAGGGCAGGGAGAAAATAAGATAAAAAAAAACCCTCATGTGTCAAGATAAAGGCAGTTGATTAAAGCAAAAGCAAAGGCCGTGTACAGAAGCAAAGGAAAATGATTTTTTCTCTACTTCCCATCAGCAGATGATGTCCAACTACCTTGCAGAAGGTAGGCTTTCAGCAAATGCTCTGAAAGACAAATGTCATAATAACAAATGTTGCCCTCCTCCTCCTTTCCCCTAGCTTCTATTGTTGAACACATTTCATACAGCACAGAATGACCCTTTGGTTAGTTTGGGTCAGCTGTCCTGGCTAGGTTCTCTTTCTGGTTCTTCCCCCCACCCCCAGTCCTACTGTTGAGGGGAGAAATTTGGGAAGACAGTCTTGGTGCAGCAGTAGCCAAACCACTGGTGTTTTATCAGCACCTTTCTAGGCACCCATACAACCCACAGCACTGTGAGGGCTGCAATGGGGAAAATTAACTCCATCTGAGCCAGAATTCCATCCAGCTACAATGTCATCACCAGGAGAACTGCAGAGGAGTTGCTGTGAGAGAAGCTCAGCTGATTAACTAGTGCAAATTAGTATTGCTTCATTACCTTTTACAGAGCCCTGACAAATGTATATCAGCTGAAGATCTGGCTTATTCTGTCTTGTTCTGCTTCAAGCAAACATACTCCTTTTATCTCTATTTTAATGCAAAGCACCTAATAAAACCTTCATTTTGATGCAAGTGGGATGTATGAGTGAAAAAGAAAGCTGATAAGTTTCTCAACAGTTGGCAAGAAGATCCTCAACTAATGAGTAAAAAATCTGAATCATGGTCTTACTCTTCTGATAATGAATATTTCTAGTAATTGATGTCAGTAACACAGGCCCTGGAGAGGGACTGGTTTGGTTGGGAGATCTAATTCCGTGGAAGGAATTACAGACTCTAAGTCCATCTTCAAAGAGCCTTACAGAGAGACGCAGGCATTTTAATCAAAGCTTTCACCTGGACTGATATAAGCTGCACAGCTACAACTGTTTAATACTGTGCAATTCATTGCTGCCTTCCCACAGTACCAGCCTACCCTATTCTTGATCCACATGCCTCTTCCTGAGAAGCAGAATGCCTTGCCAAGAACTAAAATAAGGAGGGTTGGGCAATTGTGGTAGTCTGTTATTTTACAGTTGGTTCTTCTGTAGTATGATTTTATATTCCTTGTTATACGTTTGTAATGGTTCAGTCTTTGTACCGCATTTGGCTTCCCTAATGGTTCAGTCCTGAATTGTTTACCACAGTTTTCCCCACCAAAATGTATGTCAATCTACATATCAATCCACCTGTATATCTCCCTTGTTCCTTGTCTTATCCCTGTCTGTCAAAGATAGCATGCTTCTTTGGTTCTAGAGTGTTCCCTGTCTTTCATCCCTTCCTCAAAGCAGAATTGGGTAAGGTTTTCTCCCTCCCCATGTTGGCTGCTATTGGGGAGCCCTCACCCTGCACCCCTCCCCCAATTCCCTCCTATTGGTCACAGGTTGTGTCCTCCCTGTGTTCCCCCTACCCTATAAAAGTAGTCTGTTCAGATTTGGTTCACTTGTTCTACCCCAACTTCGTCATTAAAGATTTGGCAACTCAGCCAAGTGCCCTTCCCTCATTCCTGTGCCTCGGTTTCCCCGTGCTCTGTCCCTGCTGCGCTCCCCACCGCAGCGATCCCCGCGCCCGCACCGGGCTGGGCACAGCCAGGGAACCTCCGGCCGGGGCCAGACAGAGCCAGGCACAGGCAATGGGGTCCCAAGGGGGTCTATGTGACTCCTGGAAACCACCAGGAAGCTTCATACTGACAGTGCAGCACATCAAGATGAGTTCCCTGGATATCCAGTAAGAATAACTATGCAGTAAGACGTGTTCCCAAACCAGTTCATTTCCCTGTGAACCACGTATGACATGCCAACATCCCATTCACATTCAGTATTTAATTCTAGGGCTCGGGCCAGGCTATCAGGCAATGAGATAACGAACCAGATACCATGGATAAACCACCAAGTGTTTCTTTACATCCTCAGGTTCCTAAATACCTTCAAAACCTGGGCTCCAAATCCTCCTTTCTGCTCTTGGGAGAGATCTCATCCTTTTATCCTTGTCAGAGACAATCTGCCACACTGACAGTTCATTTTGTAGTCCATTCTGGGCACAAGTAATGGCCTGCTGAACCTAGAGAGCCACGTTGCTAATTGCCACCATGGATATGGGGAAAGAAGACAAGATTTAAGAGGCTGGCTTCACCCTTCTCCATTTCAAGAAACATTTGCTGTTCAGTGTGTTGGTCAATGTAAAAAAAAAATATGAAATACTTACTATTAAGAGCCACTTCAGCTTCACATTTTCTTCTGTATTCCCAAAGTGGAACAAGCAAATGCTCAGCTGGTTCTGAACACCTGCTGCAACCCCTCTGGTGCCCTAATTCTTAGCACGAGATTTGGCAAAACACGGGAGGCAACCAGTTCTTTCCCCATTGCAGAGAGCCAGGTGGTGATTGCTGAGGCAGCATCGATGCTGACGGAAGAGTGAGTAAGGCTTCAGATAAATAAAATCTATGTTAGGATTTCAAGCATCCCACACCATAGAAGGATCCAGGAATCCTGCTAAAATGACACCATCCAGTTGATATTTTGCAGATATTTTTGAACTCCATTTCCTTATCACTTTTTTAAAGGCCAATTTCTTTGTTAACATGTAAAAGAGGATTTGAAAAGGTCTCACATCTATGTCCTATATGATAAAACAGCTAGTAGTTTGCATGACTGATTTAGAGATTGCTTCCATCTGCAGTATTCTAAATACCATGTCTCATTTCAGAAGAGAAGTGGCATAAATATGTGACTAAGTGACATAAAAAATTTGACACCTAAGGAATAGCATTTTCTGCATGATCTCAAACTCGATAGAAATGAAGCATATATTTTTCATGCTAAAAGATACTAATCTGAACATTCTGCACAAATGAGGCCCATTGACATTTACCTGAGAAAAAATGATACACAAATTCTATGTGAGGATAAAATAATTGCATATTCCCTTCAAACATTGCCAGTGATCTAAAATTAGTCTCAAATTTATTTTAATTGGATTTGGAAACAGAAATTTGTTCCAGTTAAACCAAAATATTTTTGATTAACCCAGTGTATGCAATAGGAGTTTTCTTTCCAAGAAAGTAGATTAATAGAAAAGATTCAGGAGAAATTTTCACAGCAAAACTTTGTAAACAGAAGAAAACACTACTCTTCTGTCTCACAGCCAAAGGGAGTCCTATGAGAAAGGGGATTATCTTCAAATTTCTTAGAATCCAGAATTCTCAGTTTTGACCCCTCAAGTTGATGGCAGTATGTTATTAAGAATAAACCTGTATTTGTTGAAGAAACTACCACAAAAACAAAAGCTAAGCAGAAGTAACTGTGAGTGTATCCAATGAGCATATATATTTGATTTTGTTGTTCAAAAGCACCATATGGAAAACCTCATCCACAAAAATGAAAGAACAAGGGAAAAAAAGTGTTTTCTTTCCTATATTTCATTAACATCTAAACTTCATGAGGAGATGGATCAAACTAAATTTTGATAAGCTAAATTTTGAAGCAGAAACACAAAATAAATACACACAAAGCTAAAATTGTGAATGTACTGTATAATCTCCTGTGCTTTGGTTTTGTTCAGAAAAGCCTGGAGAAGTATTTCTGGATAGATTCTCAAACGTGCATCTGCATGCCTTACAGTTGCTCTGGAGGTGCTTTTCCAGCCTGTTCAGAAACATTTCTTCTCTTTCCTGGAAATGCTGCTGAAAACCTGACTGAGGATTACAACAGGGGTCTTAGCATTACTAAGCAGAATTAAAGGATTGCTCTATGTGTTGGTTGTACTTGTAGTTTATACATCCCAGAATAGTACTTCCATTTCTTTCAGACCCACATGCAGCTCAAAATACATGATATTGTCAGGGTATTCCCTGGAGAATGGCTCTGTAGAACAGAATAGTCCAGTTGGTGATGCTGAGCTTGATGCGCCCCTGGACGTTGGTGGCCTTCTGGGTTGCCAATATTTGGACTTGTTAACTATCACACCATCAATGATTGCTCAAGGCTGCAGTCTCTCTAGATTGGAGACTGGAGTCCTGTGCTCTCCATTCCCTTTTAGTTCAGTAGAATATATCTGGTTGTGTGTAGCACTTTCCAGATGTTCCCATTGAATGTGTAGATTTTTTCAGATTATTTCTCCATTTCCCTTTTCTGCCTTGCAGCATAGTTATAGTCCTACTGTTTTTTTTTTTCTTTTTTTTTCTTTTTTTTTTTTTTTTTTTTTTTTTTTTTACCCTATCTGTTACTTTACCAAGACCACCAATGAAAGCAAACTAGAAGGCAAAATCCTGCAGAGTTGCATAAATATATCTTCCCCTTTTGTAAAGAAAGTGCTGAAAAGTATTTCTCGAGCTTAGTTTTGCTTGCAGGTTAGGGTTCTTTCATCTAAACGATGATCCTGTAGCTGACTTGTGAATATAATGTTAAACATTATGAAAAGCCTTGCTAAGAACCAGGTGTAAAATATTCACACTCCTATTCTACCCACAAATGCCATTATTCCACTGTAAAAAGAGTTACTTGGATCTGCAAAAAACAAGTTACATGTTACAAGTCAGTCAAGAAGAGAGTTTATGCAACTATTCTCATAATTTTCTAGTTACTTATGAATGTGTTGCTGAATTATCTTTTCCAGAGTTTTTCTGGGTGTTTAAGTTATGCTGAGTGCTATGTAGCTCCCTTGCTCCTCCTCACCTTTTCTCTTCTAAAGAAAGGGGGGAAAGCAAAAATTATGAGATCAATTTATGATGCTTCATCTATTTCCTCTTTGAATCCCCAGAGCAATCCCTGGTTGCTGCTGGCTCCCACATCTTTTTAGCAAGTGCTTTTTCTGTCAAAGAATGGAGATCATCAGGTCTAGAAGAGCTACAAACATCTTATCTACCTAAGTATCTTATTTACCTCTGAGATGGAGGGTTTATTGCTGGTATTAACTTTGCTAATCTCTCTTTCTTGCTGCCTCTTCTATCAATGATTGAAAGGTAACACTGCCTACCTTGCTTAATAGTTAATTTAAAAAATTTGAACCTTCTGCAACACTTCTTATCCTTTATAAAATGTAATGAACGCAAATGTTTCCTGAAATTCAATTAGAAATTCAGTTTACAAAAATTCAATACTATTCATAATTGCAAATGGTTCAGGCATGCAATAGAATGAATTATTGTCTATTGTATTTCATTTAAATCCTGGTTAACCTCTTGCTGCTTCTAAATTGGAATAAAAGCAGAGAGATGTAGAATGAGAGTACCCTCAGAATACCAATACTAATTGACTGAAATACGTTTCTTAGGATGCAACTTGCATGTTAAAAAAATCAGTTCAGTTGTGATGCAGAACTTGAAAGTGGGGAAATAATTCAATAACTGTAATGAAATTTCATCTTCTTAAAATGTTATTAAATGTTATGTAAATCATTGTTAATTATATTCAGTGCTGAAAATACTGCTGTGTAGATACTGCTTCAGTGGCAATGAGCACAAGAAAGACAAAATGATGGTTTTTCTTGCTATACTTGTACTGGAAAAGGGGAACTTTGACACCTTTTGATGAGTAGAAAGATATTAAACCTGAAGGGAAAAGTCAGCCCTAGATAAAACAAGTTTTTGATCTGGCAACTTCTAAAAGGCAATTTGCACTTGATCTGACTCACATATTAAAAATATACAGTAGACAATTAATTCAAAGAGTAGTGGCTTTTCAAAGTCATATTTTTGAAAGAACTAACATCCCTGGAATTAAATTAAAATGCACTTTTAGATATATGCAAGTTGAAAGTGCTTTTATCTTTAATATTGGAGGCCATGCTACTCTCCTTTCTTAATTTTTTGCAAAAATCATTGTTCAAAGGTCTGGAGGAAAAGTTCAACTCAATTGATGGGGCATTATTTTAGCTTTTAATCATAAAGGCATTTATTTGAGCACGTGCTCAATTCCCATTTATAAGTGTTTTGGTCCAGGTCTGTGTTTACTTCCTTTCATGAGTCACCCTCAGTCTTCAATAATAAAAGAACTCTAGAAGTAACTATTTCATATTTTTAAAAAATAGAGAAAACAATCTGTAGCTGTATAAACACTTAATTTTTTTTCCTGAAGATTTTGTGTAATTAAGAGTTTGCAGTGCTTGGTGAAAATGGTGTAAAATAGGGGAGTAGGAGAAAGAAAGGGTGTTTCCTTATTATTGGAAGTGTGATAGAACAATTGCTGCAAATACTGGGTGTGAGGACTGCAGGGCTGTGCAGTGCTCTGCTGAGGCACCTGTAGGGCCTCTGCTTCCATCTGGAGGAGAATCAACTACCCAACAAATACTCTCCCCAGAAAGGAATCAGAATGCTCTCCCACAACACTACATTAGTCCTCCACTTAATACACCAAAACAAATAAGGCATGAAAAATTCCATATTTTAAGGAGAGTTGCAGTAGGAAGAGATATTAACAGTAAAGGTTAGGAAAGTAGAATAAAAACTTTTAAGGGCACTTCAAATATTCACTGAAGCTGGAAGGTTGAGGCTGCTCAAGTTGCAGCTCTCATTAAAGCTTCCACCAAATGCAATGAGCTCAGAATTGGAGCTGAGGGCCCCAGTTGAGGAGAGCACTCAGTCAAATCCTTAAGTGTTTTGTTGACGAGGGCTAGGTTGAAGGATGTGCTTAATGTGCAGGTGCCAGTGCTCACAGGAGCAGAATTGAAAATGCATGTCTCATAAGGACTGCAGTGAGAAGTTTCACATTTGCAGAGGTTCTGCTGGCATGACAATGACAGGAAAAATGATGTATCATTTAAATAAATACATAAAGCCACTTATCATCTGCTCTACCTGCAATCCCAATTGAGAGAAATTCAATGGAATACTGGCATCATGTGGCAAGTTGTAAGTTGACTATCCTTTTTTTGTCCTTGGACTAATACGGAACATGCTGTGCTGTAGGACAGGAAAACAACCCTTGCCGTGAGCTTATAAGCAAATACTGAGGAACAGATAGTTTAAAAAGTATCTGTTGGACAGAAGAGATGGTGAAGGAAAATTGATGTAAACTATGTTTTGGCACAAAAGTACATGGGCCGCTTTAGCATGTGTGAGGCTATTTCACCTTCTCTGCCTTCTCTATGACAATAACTGGTCCAATGGCACAAACAAAATGTGTCCTTAAAATGCTGAACATGCATAGAAAAGAGTAAGCAGAGCCTGCATCTTTAAAAGCATTTAAACTAAGGCTTCTAAACAATCATTTTTCAGGAGCTATTGGCTAAAAGCCACAAAGGGTCCAGGGAGCTGCAGCCATGGGAATGTCCCCACTGTTCTTTGAATACCTACAGCACTTCTC